TATTGATAGTCTGACTGTCTAAATAAGTAATATAGTTCTTGTTTCAGAGAAACTGTTGTACCTCATAATAATTTGTAGTAAGTGAAGATTAAACATTCTGAAACACTCTTTTGCCAGGGTAAGTGTTATTCCATTTGAAATGTAGCAAAGAAGGCATTTAATAGAGGTTTCTAGCAATTGAACTGATTTATATGGAAGTGGGTCATTTTTTAAAATCTAATTCCACAATGAGGAAAAAAGACATTTTAAAAAAGCTTAATCAGTTGTGTATTGAAGCATTGTAATTTGAGATTTGTGCCATTTTAGGTTACTACTTTCCCCTCCCTTTTGGTTTAAAAACAAAAACAAATAAACATCAGTTTTTGCAAGTTTTAGATCAAGATGAGAACTGGCAGATTTTAAGGGAAGGTATCAGAGTTTCTCCTTACTTCTTTCTTTATTCCAAGTTGTTATATGGTCTGTGTTATGGTAGTAAAATTTTTTTTTTTTTGGCGGCTAGGCAGTGGGATTAAGTGACTTGCCCAGGGTCACACAGCTAATAAGTGTTATGTGTCTGAGACTGGATTTGAACTCAGATCCTCCTGACTCCAGGGCCAGTGCTCTATCCACTACGCCACCTAGCTGCCCCTGGGAATAATTTTACTGAATGAGTTTACATGCCATATTTTGTGTAATTCAATAGCTGGCAAAATTTCCTTACTTGAGATACATTATGTAAAAGAACGTATTTCGTTACCTGTTACATTTGTTTCCTTCCTAAAGCTAATTCTTTTGAATATCGTAAGAGATATTTCTTTACCATAAAACTATGTCCTAATGGCAGACTTACCCAACTATCATGCATATGGTTTGCACTGAAACAAATGCTTATTGAATGAGTACTGTTTTCCTTTTATTTGCTGGAAATTTGTAATAATGTGTGAAATATGTAATAATAGACAGAAATTGGAAAAGATAACTTTTTAATTACAGTCAACATAATGTAGATCAGGAATTTTCCTCACTCCCAGGCAATTAGCATATGAACAATCACCTCCACTTTCTTGGTATTGGGTTATGGAATGAGGGTGTGTGGGGGGCAGTTTTACCATTTTCTTATTTACTTGGCTCTGGCAGGATCCATTCATTCTTTGAAATGTTGTTTTTGCTCTCCCCTCAGGTTATTTTTACTTGGTGGCTAGGCACCCAAAAAGAATATAGAGATATAGATGTTTAGTTGTTTTTTCAGCTGTGACTGACACTCCATGACCTCTTTTGGGGTTTTTTGGGCAGAGATGCTAGAGTGATTTGCCATTTCCTTCTCCAGCTCATTTTATAGGTGAGGAAACTGAAGAGAACAGGATTAAGTGACTTGCCCAGGTTCACATGGCTAGTAAGTGTCTGAGGCCAGATTTGAATTCATGAAGAGAAGTCTTCCTCATTCCTGGCCCAGCACTCTATCCACTGCACCACCTAGCTGCCATAGATATAGATAATAATAGATAATGTGAAACTTTGCTATTTCATTGGTTTACAAATATGAAAGAGCCCAAGCTGAGCAACAAAGAAAGGACAGCAACCATCTTTCTATTTACATCTTTATTTTGGCTTTAGTAATACCTTTTACCTTGACATAGAACTTTGCTTAGAAAAAGTTGCATTTTGACACTTGGTTCTGAACAAATTACTTGGTAGGGTCAAGTAGGACATTTGGGTGAGGTATGGAATGTTCGTATGCCATTACTCAGAATCCTCTTTTCCTTTGTTGTTCCTTCTGTCTATCTCAATCTCACTGTAGAGTGTTTGGAGTACTGAAATTAGAATCAGGTGATAGGAGAGCATATCCTGCTTTAGATACTTACTAGCTAAGTAATTATTGACAAGTCATGTAACTCCAGTGTCTTAATTTCATCAAATGTAAAATAGAGATAATATTTGTACTACCTATCTCCCAGGGCTGTTATGAGGAAGGTGCTTTTTGAACCTTAGAGTGATATAAAATGTGAATCATTTTCATCATTATTTATTGTGACTTTGTTGTCATCTACCGGCCTTCAGGTCACTCACTCTCTTTTATTTAAGTATTTCAGATCCTGGCTTACAGTTCAGTTCTATAACCTCCTCTTCCTAACTTGTACTCTCATTGGTGAATGACAACATAAAATACCTTGGTGTTCTAGTTCATCTGCTATTTCTCTTCACATGAACTGTGTATCCACTCAGACCTTGGCTATCCATATAGATTATCATACCCTAGTTCAGTGGTGTTATACTTGAATAGTGATGGAGGCAAATAATCTGGAAGTAAGGATCTCTGTGGGCCATGTATTGACTTAGTTTTGAAATGTAGTATTATTTGTGTTTTATTGCATTTTTATTTATTTTGTGAAATACTTCGTAATTACATTTTAATCTGGTTCAGGCGACAGCTGGGAGTGTTGAGGACTGCATGTAGCCTGCAGGCTACATGTGTAACACCTTTTCCCTAGACCTCACCTCCACACAAAGCTGTTCTACCTCCATGATCTTGAAACCTGAAATTCCCTTCTTTCATCATAACCTTCTCTACCCCTTCCCCCCTCATTCTCTCTGTCATAAATCCATTCTTCATTCTCTTCTTTTCCTCTGCTACATTGCCTCCATTATGGGTTTACTTTGATCCCTTCAGTCTTGACCATTATTAACCAGTTCAACAATGCATTGTCTTCTGCCATCAAATTCCTTACCCTCTTTTCCATTTGTCATTTATACCAAAGTTCAATTCTTTGTTCTCCTAGGCTGTTAAACACTTCTGGAGGAAGTTACACATTATATAATTTTATCTTATCTGACCTCAGTTGGACCTTTGCTATTGTATAGTAATCCTTTTGTTTATTTTTTACTCTCTGTGACACTCTCCTGGTGGCTGTTTCAAACCTTCTCCTATCTCCTCAGACTTTCAATGACCCACCATTCCTCCTCTCTTATCAGATGATATCTCATCCCACTTGACTAAGAAAATTGATACCACTTGCCCTGAGTTCTTTCACTCCCTTTCTAACTCCAAACCTCTATTTGTCTTAGAGAATAAACTGATTTTTCTCTTTTGCCAGAGCTACCTTTTTCTATTGTGTGTTTGATCCACCTTCTAGTTTCTTTGAACAAATGCTTACTGAATGAGTACTATTTTCTTTTTATTTGCTGGAAATTTGTAATAACGTGTAAAATATGTAGTAATAGACAGAAATTGGAAAAGATAACTTTTTAATTACGGTCAACATACTGTATATCAGGAATTTTCCTCACTCCCAGGCAATTAGCATATAGGAGTTTGTCTTAATTATTCCCTAAGTGACTCCCCATTGCCTATTGGATAAAATGGAAACTCTTTACTTTGAGTTAAGGCCATTAACAATCTGTGTCTTTCTTACTTTTCAGCCTTCTTTCATACAACTCCTCTTCAGTAACTCTGTTTTTAAACCAGATTGGTTTACTAGCTCTTCCCCAAACTTAGCATTCTTCTCCTGCCTCCAGTATTTTGCACAAGCCGTTCCTCACACTACAAAGCAAACCGTCATTCTTAGAATCATTTTCTTCCTTCAAGACTGAACTCAGTTGCTACCTCCTCTCTGAAACCAATAGAGAGCTTCTGAACTTTAGTCCTAAATTGCCAACTACTCGTTGAACATCTCCACTTGGATGAGCTATTGGCATCTCAAGTCATCATGTCCCAAATGAGCTCATGACCTTCCTCCCATACCTGATTGAAATTCCCTAATTTGTTGGTTGATGGTATCACCATTTTGGGTCAATTCAGGTTTGTAACCATTGTTGTCATCTTTGATTCTTCCCTCTCCTTAACCTTCTATTTCTAATCAGTTGCCAAGTCATATTAATTTAAATTTACAATATCTCTTGCTTTTCAATGCATCCAACCAATACTTGACTTCAGGAAATCATCCTCTTTTACCTAGTCTATTGTAATAGCCTCTTCTGGGTTTTCTTTCCATTTCCCTTCAACTCAGGTTTATCTCACTCCCTTGCTCAGAGAAAAAAAAAAAAAACCCCTAGCCAAAACTGTTAGCTTTTAGGATTCAGTTGAATGACATTTAAAGGTCTACCTTTGCAGACTTACTTCAAATTTTTTTTTGTCATGTTCTCTCTTCCAGCCAAACTAGATTACTAGCTGTTCTGCAAACTTATTCTATCGCCTGCTTCCTTTTCCTTGTATTTGTTTAGATTGTCTTCCATGCTTAGAATGTAAACTGTCCTCATCTCAATCTTTCATAATATTTATCTTCCTTCACTTTTGGGTGCTACTTTCTTTAGGAAGACTTTCCTGATTCTTCTTTCTCTTACTTGCTTTCTCCCTTGCAGTTGCTTGTGCTTTCTTCCCCATATTTTCCTCGAACACACTGATTTCTCTCTTTTTGGTGAATCCACTCCTTATTTTTTATAATGCTTCTCTGTGGTTATTGTTGTTGCTCTTGGAAGGTAGGGGTTGTTTTGCATTTGTCTTCTTAGTGCTTAACACAGTGCCTTCCATGTTGTAGGTACTTAAATGTTTGAATTGAAATAAAGATGTTAATTAGTTTTTAAAATCACTACCATATTTTATAATGGCTCCCTAGTGACCTAAAAGTTATCTCTATGTTAGACTATAAGCTCCAGAAAAAACCTTTTTATTTCTTCCAGAACTTAGCAAAAGGCCCTGCCCACTGTATGTACTTAATCATTGGGTTTTTAATCAGTGAGAAAATGATTTTTTTGAGTTTACGGTTTCTCAGCAATGGTATTATTATTTTTTTTTATTAATGTGACCAGGACTTTGACTATTGACTACAAATTGAATGAAGAGGGTCGTAATAATAATGACTTTCTTTTACTAATAGAAATTGTTTGAAAATATATATTGAAATTTATGTTCGGTAAAATTCCTTCTGATTCTTCATTACATGCTCAATAATGTTTGAATTTAATATAAAAAGTGAAATGAAATAAATCTTTTGTTTTGTTTTCTCTCTTCTTTTCTGCCTGTTTAGGTATAAGGAAGGTGGTGAGTCATTGTTAATTTTGCTCCCCTCTGAAGAAAAAGGAATGGTTCATGAGCTTTCCCAGAGGAAAGTCCCTGTGAAGGAAATCAAGTAAGAAATGTCTGTTCTTCCTTAATATTGAAATTAGAAATACTGAAGGTATGAAACTATCATTACTATAGTCATTTCATATTTCATTGTCATTGTTTCTTTTTTTTTTCTGGCTGTTGTCTGTTTTGGAAAAACTTTTCCCTTTAATATTTTATTAGAGGTAGTTAATGCCAATTGTGATTTTTACCTTGTAGCATTTTTACCTTGTTCAGTTTGAATCATGTTCTTGATAAAAGGTTTGATCTATCCATTTGCCTTTCTTGAATCATTCATAACAGCCAACAGGATTATGTTTTATGCACAGTAAAGTTTCAACTCAATCATGTTCACAGACTAGTAATAGTTTCGTGCACTTAAAGATTATAGGTAATAAAGGTGGAAAATGACAGTTCTGTAGATACTTTTCTGAAAGTGAAATGATGTAGCTTAACTTTTGTTTTCTTTTGTTACCTAGAATTAATCCAGAAAAGCTTATAGATATCCAGAAGAAACTGGAAGCATTTTTAGCCCAAGATCAAGACCTAAAAGAACGGGCTCAAAGGGCAAGTAATTTTTGAATAGAATAACCATATTCAGATATTTTAGTTTGTGTGGTTGTACTAATGCAAATATTTGTGCTCTCAAGATATAAAGTAAGAAGTCATTGCCTTAGGAAATGGCAGTTTTGGTTTTAGGGTCAGTGCAGAGTATCTCAGTATTCTGTGGCACCTACTCTGCATTGTATTGAATTCTATTATCTTCCTTATTTAAGGGAATATTCTTTCAGTATAAAGGCCTTTTGTAAGTTATGAGCTAATACTGTTTGGGAAAAATGAAATAGTTTATTAGGGGAAAAATGTTAAATTTTGATCATAAAATCCGTAATATTGCATATAAATGTAATGGTATTAAAATCTTTAGTTTTTTTCAGAGGAAGCATTTCAGTCTTGGTATATGCTTAGTTGGCCCTGCTGGAATTCTTTTGAACATAGAATTCTAACCAAAGTGTGGTATTTGGAAAGTACATGTTTAATTGTATACAAGGTGATTTATTTAGAGAGAAGGGAACCTAAATATAAGCCTGTCTGCTTTGAATTGTGATCTGATGGAATAAGTTCAGAAAAAAAAGTTTGTGTGTGTGTGTGTGTATGTATGTTTATAAGCACACATGACTGAACCTTTGCTTTCACTGGTTTAGAGAAGTTCAGGATCTCCCTCTACAAATGCAGATTGGTAACTGTTCTGCAACTTAAAGTCTTAGGGAGTTGGCTGGTTAAGCTCAATGTCATATCATCAGGATGTGTCCAAGATTGAATTTAAATTCCAGATCTTGACCTGAATCCAAGTCTAGCTTGCTAGTCACTATATTATGCTACTTTTTCATAATATTATGTTATAATAGTTAGGTAAGAGAGAAGAGAAACAATATAGCATGGTGGAAAGTTGTCCTTGGAGTTAGGAAGAACCAGGTTCAAGTCTCCTTGTTTTATATACTGGCTTTGTAACTCTGAGCAAGGCACCTCACTTCTCAGTGTCCCAGGCAACTATCTAAGAGTGTAATTTGCAGGATGCATACAGACTTGCATTGATAGAGGGAATTCCTCATAGGGACCTCCCTATACTGATGAAATCACAGGTCTAGTCTCTCCTTATCCCCATACATATATGCATATATTTAAATATACTCCCCCCTTCTCTCTTCTGGTACTACTACCACCCTGGTATAGGCCCTCATTACCTATAGCTAGACTACTGCAGTAGCCTTCTGGTGGGTCTGCCTGCCTTAAGTTTATCTTCTATTTAGCTGTCAAATTGATCTTCCTAAAATGCAGGTCTGATCGTGTTATATCCCTGCCCAAACCCCCAACTCAGGAAACTCCAGTGCCTTCCTTTCACCTTCAGGATCAAATGTAAAATCCTGTTTGGTGTTCAAAAGCTTTCATGATCTGCTCCTTTCCTCTGTATGTCCAGTCTTCTTATATCTTTCCTTCCTCCTCCTCTTTCCCTATCATGTAGTCTTCACTGACCTCCTTGCATTTCTTTACATAAGACACTCCATCTCTAGACTGTAGGCATTTTCACTTGGTCATACCTATGCATATACGAGAGCTGTTACGAAGGTAAAGTAGAAAGGCAATAGATTGGGTGGGGAGGGGTATAAGAGAGTGATTGAGTTGAGAGTGACACCTAAGTTGTGAGCATCCTAGGTGACTGAGAGTATGATGGTACCCTTAACAGAAGTAGGGAAATTAAGAAGAGAGAAGAGTTTTGGGGAAAGATAACAAGTTCAATTTTGGATGTATTGAGTTTAAAATGTCTACAGAGCATCCATTTTGAGATGTTTTATAGACAATTGGAGATGTGAGACTAGAAGTCAGGAGAAAGGTTTGGACTGGATAAATATATTTGTGAACCATCTGCATAGAGATGATAATTGAATCCATGCTAGCTGATTGGAGATCATCAAGTGAAATAGCGTATATATAGAGAAGAGAATAGAAGGCTCTCAGGACAGATATCCGTGATTAGTGAGTATGATCTGTATGGAAGTTCAGCAAAGAAGACTTAGAAGGAGCAGCCTTTTAGGTGAATTCTTCTGGACTTCTCCATCATGCCCCAGGAATATCTGTGTCTTGCAAGATTATATTAGCTCTGGTACTCTTACCTCATCAGTAACCTTTGCTCCTGGGGATCCTTTGACTGGAGTGTAGAGAGCTCCTTCCAGAATCTTCATTTAATGAGGGTACCCAGGCCAGCATTCTCTTTATTTCCTACCTACCTGACTGTGTTCCTTTGGATTTCTCCTTCATTCCCCTTTCACTAGGTTACCCCTCCACCCCCAAATTTCTTTTGTGTGTTGTCTTTCCCTATTAGATTGTAAAGTCCTTCAGGGCAAAGACTACCTTTATATTTTTCATTTGTATCTTTAGTGCTTCAAATAGCATAGTGCCTAGTGCATTGATTGATTGACTAGGAGGAGAACCAGGAAGAGAACAGGGTTATGAAAATCTTGAAACAAAAGAATGTCAAGGGTAAGATGATGATTGGCAGTGTCAGGCTACAGAGAGGTCATGAAAGACAAAGATTGAGAAAATATCATTGGATCTGGCAGCTAAGAGATCATATTTTTGGTTGAATGATAAGGTCTGAATGATGAAGTGGGCAGCCAGACTTTAGAGAGGTGACAAGAGAGTTAGAGGAAAAGAAGTGGAGGCAGCTTTTGTAGATAGCCTCTTTGAGGTGTTTAGCCACAAAAGGGAAGAGCAATATAGGGTGATAGTTAGTGGGGATGACAGGCTCAAGTGAGAGTCTTTTGAGGATGGGAGAGATTTGAGTATGTTTGTAGGCAGTAGGGAAGCAGCTAGTAGATAGGCAGAAATTGATGGTAAGTGAGAGGGTGGAAATGAGAAAAAGGGCAGTCTGCTGAAGAAGAGGGGATGAAATGGGATCACTTGTACATATAGAGTGATTTACCTTGACAAGTAGAAGGGCCACCTCATTATGTGAGACTGAGTGAAAGTGGAAATTGTGCCAAAAGGCATCAATGAGATCAGTTGAAGAGGGAAGAGAAGAGGAAGCTCTCAGCCTTTCACTTCAATTTTTTCATTCAAATATGAGGCAGCTTTCTCCACCGAAAGGGTAGGGGAGAGGAGGAACAATGGGAAGTTTGAGGGGGATGAAAAGTTTTGTAAGAGCCACTGTAAAAAGTGGGAAGTATAAAAGGATTGCCTTGCTTCAGTGAGGGCCCTGTTGAGATCATGTGACATAACTTTGTAGTGGATCCAATTTTGTGATTTTTCTCCACCTTTGTTTGGTCACTTGTGAGTAGGAGCGAAGATAGTGGCTGCTGAGAGCAATCCAAGGCTGAAGGTTTTTTTGGGGGGAAGATTGGCAATAACTTAAGGGGGCAGGGGACTCAAGAGTTAAACTGATTCACCAGTGGGTCAAGGTAGGGAAGGGAGGAAAGTGTAGCCAGTGCAGAATTGATAAGCCTGGGAAAAATATTAAAAAGTTGAGGGATGGGAGGTCATATTGAAGAAGAAGAAGAGGATTGGGGATGTAAGTTAGAGAGAGGTGGAATGATGAGATTTTGATCAGTTAACGGAATTTCAGAGTTCATAAACATGGAGACGGAGCATTTTGGGATGATGCCACGTACTGCTGTTTTTATCATCTGCCTTTTATTGGCAGTTAGAAGATAATTCCCACACCTTTATGCAGAGAGAAACCCCTGGCTGTCTTCTCTGTGTGGGTCTCCAGGAGGATTCTAGTTAAGTGCTAGGTTTTAGCTGATGCAGTCTAATTATTTAATTCTTTTCCCCTTTCCACCTATATTTTAGATACTACTTTTTACTTTCCTGGTTATCATGCTGTCTGTCCTTCTTAGGGGTGAGGCTTTATTTATTGCTGCGTTTTGCCATTTCTCCTGATCTGTTTAGTTGCCAGTAATGATTTGTCTAGTAGTTTTGGACAGTATTGACTTTTTTTGATTTCATTTTCTCTTTTTGTTTGTTCATTCTTTCATTCCTTGAACATTTACTGAGTGTTAACTCTGTACAGGGAACCATAGTTAAGGTATAGATCTTTAGGATCGTAGAGTTTCTTTGGGGGAGGTAACGCCACAAAATCAACACTTATTAAGCGTCTGTTATGTGCCACACATTGTATTAGGCTCTGGGGATAAAAGACAAAAAAGAAAAACAATTCTTGCTCTTAAGATACTTATATTCTATTTGGGGAGACAGCATTTATACATGTAAGCAGATACAAAATAAATAATAACCACTAATATTTATATAGCACGTTAAGGTTTTCAGAATACATAAATTATGTATCATTTTGACTTTATAACCCTGGGATGTAAATGCTATTATTATCCCCATTTTACGGTTGAGAAAACTGAGGTAGACAGAAATTAAGTGATTTGACTAGCTATGTGACCATAGCTAGTATCTGAGGCAGGATTTGAACTTGGGTCTTCCTGACTCCAAGTCTAACCTATCTACTTCACCAGCTAGCTGCTTTTATACGAGGTATGAGGTAATTTTTTGTGTGTCGAGGCACTAAGTAGTTGGGAGTAATCAATCAATCAATCAATCAGTCAACATTTATTAAGCATTTACCATGTACCAGGCACACTCTGCTAAGCTCTGGGGATACCAAAAGAAGCAAAAGACAGTCCCTACCCTCAAGGAGCTTACAGTTTACTGGGGGACACAAATAAACTATATAGAGGATAGATAGGAAGTAATTAACAGAAGGAAGGTACTGAAATTAAGAGGAGTTGGAGAAGGCTTTCAGCAAAAGAAAGAATTTTAGTTGGGACTTAAAGGAGGGTAGGAGGATTAGTAGTCAGGGTAGAGGAGGAAGGGAATTCCAGGCATAGGGGACAGCCAGAGAAAATGCCAGGACCTGAAAGATTGAGTGTCTTGTTTTTATTCATTCATTCATCATTCAAGGCAATTGGGTTTAAGTGACTTGCCCATGGTCACACAGCTAATAAGTGTCAAGTGTTTGGTCTGAGGCCAGATTTGAATTCAGGTCCTTCTGACTTCAGGGTCAGTGCTCTATCCACTGCACCACCTAGCTGCCCCTGAGTGTCTTGTTTGTGGAATGACTAAGAGGCCATTGTCATTGTATGGAAGAGAACATGTAGGTAGGTAATGTGGTGTAAGAAAACTGTAAAGGTAGGAGTGGGCTACATTATGAAGGGCTTTGAATGCCAAATAAAGCATTTTGTCTTTTTCCTGGAGGCAATAGAGGACCACTGGTGTTTATTGAATGTAAAGGTATGCATGACATGGTTGGATCTGTGCTTTAGGAAAATCCCTTTAGTGGCTGAATGGAGGATGAATTGGAGTAGGGAGAGACTTAAGGCAGGCAGACCCACAAGTTGACTATTGTAGTAATCCAGGTGTGAGGTAATGAGGGCCTGTAGTAGAATGGCGGCAGTCTCAGGAGAGACGGGGTTATGTATGAGAGATGTTGCAAAGGTTAAATTGGCGGTTAAGGGCTCAGGAAGTGGCATTTGATTGGAACATTGAAGGAAACTAGGGATTCTTAAAAGATGAGAGTGAGAAGGGAGTCCTTTGCAGACATGGAGATAGCTTGTGATAATGGGTGTGAAAATAGGAGTTGGAACGTGGTGTATGAGTTTGGATGGATTGAAGACAGTATGAAGGGGAGTAATATGTACACACCATAGAAAAGCAAGTTGGAGCTGGGTTTTGAAAGTTGTAAAGTGAGATGTATACATAAACAACTCCTATTAGGTAGTAAGTGGCAAGTGCTATAAAAATGGTGCAAACAAGAGTTATAGGAGTTTAGAGTGGGGAAAGAATACTTTCAGCTGTTCTAGGAAGGCTTAATGGAAGTCTATTAGCATTAGGCCTGGAAAGAGAAGTTTGTTTTCTGTAGGCAGAGGTTGGGTGAGGACATTCTAGGCAAGTAGAATCACTTGAATAATTGGGGTGGAGTCATTTGTCTGAATTATTTTGTAGATGAGGACCTATGCTGCCAACATTGAATATGTTATACTTGCCAAAGAGCAGACTTCCTTTATTTTTGCTTAATTTGTTATTTATCGAAACTCCTTACCTGAGGATAATTGGTAGCAGAAAAAAAACCATTATTTAAAGTGAATCCAATCAAAATAGGAAGCAGTCAGGTGATTTAGTGGATAGAATGCTGGGCCTGGAGTTAGAAAGACCTGAGTTCAAATGTGGCCTTAGATGCTTACTAACTGTGTGACCCTAGGCATGTCACTTCTGTTTGCCTTAGTCCACTGGAGAAGGAAATGGCAAACCACCCAAGGGTCTTTGCCAAGAAACCCGCATGGACAATATGAAGAGTCAGATTTGATTGAACAACTGAACAATACATTTAAAATGGAGGACTGATGTTTCCTGATAATAGCACTGTTAAGGTTCACATAAATACTTTATGTATTAATTCATTTTAGAATCATAAATGAAAAGTTTGATTGGGACTTTATCTTGAAAAATGAAATTGAAGTCATGAACAATTTGTTTTATTTAGATTATATTATAATTGTATGCAATTTTTTTTTTCTAGAAAATTTGAAAGTCATGTGGTCTTAGAATGAGTCAGTACATGTAAGGTGCTTTTTGAATCCTATAGCACTGTTAAATTCTGGCAATAAGAGACACCTAGGTGACAAGTGAATAAGAATACTAGACTTGAGGTCAGGGAGATCTGAGTTAAAATTTAGCCTCAGACACTTACTTAGCTGTGTGACCCTAGACAGGTCCTCTAACCTCTGTTGCTTCAGTTTCCTCAATTGTGAAATAGGGATGATAATATCACTTACCCTCAAAGGTTGTTGTAAGGATAAAATAAGATAATATTTGTAAAACACTTTGCCAACCTTACAGTGCTGTATACCTCTAGCTATTACTATTTTTTTGGGGGGAGGTATAATTTTTCAGACAAAACTGTATAATAGAGCAATATGATATCCTTTGATATTCAAATCATTCTCTTTTAAGCACCTTCTGGGCAGTCAGCAGAGACTAACCAAAAAAGACTTTGACAGTATGGGTAGAAATGGTACTGGTGAATAGATGGTGTTTTTAAGTGGTTAGGGCTCTTTGGTGGGGATTAGGATAAGATTATAGATTTAGATCTGGAAAGGATCTTAGAAGTAATTTAGTTCATCCTCATCATTTTTAGAGATGAAAAACTGAGACTCAGAGAGTTTAAGTGACTCATCTATATTTTATATATGGTCACTTCTTTAGTGAATATTTTTCTTGTAAGAAGACTAGTCTGCTTCCCTATGAAATTTTGCAGAAATGCAACATGACAATAGGGGTTAAGAGCTGACTTTGGAGTCAGACACATACTATTAACTTTACTGCTTCGTATTCCAGGCATTTTTCCAAATTTAAGACTTTATAAGTTGCAGATCTGCTTCTGCAGAAGTTCCCTTACTGGGAGTTCCCTGTGTTAGTGAAGTCACAGGTTTTGAAATGTAGCCTCGTAATAATAGGACTTGGTAAATGAATAAGTGTAATCAAGTTGAAAAGTACAAAGAAAAAAACCAAACTCCAAAACAACTAATTACCAGATTGAACAGAAGTCAAAATTTGTGTAGATTTCCACTTTTTAATTCTTAGTGTCAAAAAGTTCAAAATTAGAATTTATTGAATTCAGTGCACTTGGTTTAAATGCAAAGTAAAAGGCCTTTGAATAGATAAAAACGATATTTATAGAGTGTACATTTATCACTATGAGTTTTATTTAGTATGCATATGTGAAACTGAGAGTTAAATTTATTTTGGAGATTTGGAAATGGCATGAAAAATATTTTTAGTGAAATAATTGGACTCAAGCATACATTAAAAAAAACTAAATAGTCATTATAATTTTTGAGCTGGACAAAATTTGCTGCCTAGGAGGCCATTCATGAATAAATCAACAAATATAGAGTATCAGAAAAATGCTGTTGCATTGGGCTCTGCATTGAACAAATAAGTCTACCAGAATAAAAACTATAGTATGGCACACTGAAATAAATGATTCTGTCTGTTGGGTGACAGGTATGGGCAAGGGGAATGTTGAAATATCGCCACCTGTAGCAGGTTCTCTTGTTCATAGAAATGATTTCCTAGCTTTTGATTTTAATCTTGATAGAGCAGAACTGATAAGCAACTAGCATAAATCCCAGTGAACAATTGCAGGGGAAAAAATGATCACCAAATTCCTGCTTTTTTGAGACTGTGAAGAAATGGAAATAACTCTTGGGCAAGAAAAATGGAATAGAGATTAGTTTGAAGACAGGATTAAGTATGAGGCATGAGAAGAAAATACAGAGAGAATGGAGGAGGAGGAAAGGAGAAATAGGAAAATTAAATATGATATTAATAAGTTACTCGCTCAGTTGTTTATCAATATTATCTTAACAAAGTTCTAAGATTTAGATTTTTAGCTCTCAATGAACAGAGATTGTTTGTTTCAGACTTCTATATTAAGTGCCTACTCTGCACTTAATAGAAAGTATTATGCCAGGTATTTTATTGGAAAATACAACATTTATGCCCATAAATAATTTCAAGACTATTTGAGGCAGCTCGATGGCACAGAGGATAATAAAAGTGCAAGACTTGGAGTCAAGGAGATTGAAGTTCAAATCCTGTTTCAGACATTTCCCAACTCTGTTACCCTGGGCAAGTTAATTAGCCTTTGCCTCAGTTTCCTAATCTGCAATGTGGGGATAATAATATCATCTAACAGAATTGTTGTGATGATTAAATGAGATAATATTTGTGAAGTGCTTTGCAAACCTTAAAGTGATTTCCTGTGGTTACCCATCACTTCGTTCAATGTTTTCACTTCAGTTGATTTTACGTTTCTATTATTTTCCCATTTGTCTATATGTAATACCTTAAAAATTCTCATTACAGTGTTTTGTGTCCTACCTGCGTTCGGTATATCTAATGAAGAATAAAGAAGTGTTTGATGTGAACAAGTTGCTTCTACCTGAATACGCCCTGTAAGTAATTATAGGATTATAAGATGCCATTGTGGACCATTAATCCAACGCTGCACATGTTTATCGAGTGCCTGCTTATGTGCAGAGCCCTAATTGATACTGGTACTTAGCAGATCTCTGATCTCGGTTATATCATTCTTGCTTCTGTTGGTGCCATGACAGCCTAACCATCTGTGCCTGCTCGCTCTTGGTGATTCTTGTTTCTCTTCTTCTGTAGATCCTCCACAGAGGATCCACCCAGTGTGAAGGAGAATCTTTAGGTCTTTTCTTAAATGTAAGGTCTGTCAGTGGAGTATTTGGACTGTCCTTGACCAAGTTCTGTGACCAACCCATCTCCTTTTTCACTCTTACATTTGTTTTTTTTTAATTGATGCCTTTTTACATACCGCATTCATTTCCTGATATCCTCCCTGCCCGCTGAACCCTCCTTTATAAGAACAACGACAACAGCAACATAAACCGTTAAGTAAAAACAGCTTATAAAATGATTGTATCTAACAGTCATTTTTTTGGGTATTTATCCGGAATGATTTCTACAGGGAGCAAAAGTTCAAAGCTGTAACCCAGACCATCCCTCACTATCCTCAGCTTATGCCATTAGTTTAAGGAACTGTCTCTGGGACAGATTTATGGGTAGATGGCAGTGTTGTTCAGGAAGAATAGGTGCTTCCAGAACCATACATTATCAAAAAAGGGCTATTTGGTTCCCTTTTACTTGGTCTTTGAACTTGTAGCTTTTGAATGTAGTTGGCAATTGACTCTTTAGGGAATCTAGTACAAACACCAGTGATAAAATGTATAGTAGTCTTCAGGGTTAGAAGATACCAACAGTGTTGTTATTGAGGTGTGTTGTACCCTATTATTTCTGTATAATAGGGGCTGTTTTCCCCCAGGTTTGATTGTGGTCTTCCGTGTAGGCATATCCCTTTCTGGATATCATAGAAATTGGGACCCAAGTCCCATCATGGTACTTGGAATATTCATATTCCCTTGGAGTATCACATGAGGAGGGTTGCTTGCACCTACTTCTACTCCCCGATAAAGATATGATTATGACCCTTTACCTCTTACTGAATCCTGAGGAAGCTTAAGCATAGATTCTTAGGGTAACCATGACACTCCATGGCTATTACTAAGCTTTTCTCAAATTCTGGAGAAGGAGGCAATCTTTAGTTATCATGTCATTGGAGTGTTCATAGGCATGCTCTAACAGGTGGACCTGTGTGATTTAGCATTATGTGTCCTACTCCCTTTATCCCAATATGGCAGTCACCGAGGCTGCCTTTTCCTTTACATCCTCTCCCTAGGCCTAGATCGTTGTTGTCTTTTTGTGGGAAATTTATCTGTGACACCTTGGTATTCAGTGTTCTGGGGCTGGAGGAGTTGGATTGGATGAACTTTGCAGTACGTTTTCAGCTCCAGATCTATGATTCCATGACAACAGATGCAACATTATATACCCATAATTTTCTACCCTTTACTGACAGTCTGAAGTGTATTTTTTCAGCCATTTCCCAGAACTTTCTTTGCAATTAATCTGAGATTAGTTGCTTTTTATTGTTTTCATTTATATTGTTATGACTGTTGTTTTTTTTCTGGTTCTAATTACTTTGTTCTTCAGTTCATATAAGTCTTTTCATGTTTCTCTGAATTCTTCTTATTTGTTGTTTTGTATGGCACATTGATACTCAGTTATAGTCACAAAATATGATTTGTGTAGCCGTACCAGATTTGGTGGGCATCCACTTGGTTTGTGATTTCTAGCCCTGAAAAACATGGTGCTGTCAATATTTTTGTAGGGTCTTCCTGTCTTTGACCTTTTTGGAGTATATACCTAATCTGACAATTGTGCATTCATTAGTAATATCCCTTATGCCCTTTATTGCTTATGGATCATAGTGCTTCAGTTTACACATACCTACTGTACATGAATTTTTGTTCCTGAGTGATTATGATATTCTAAGATTCAAAGTGATATATCATCACTGTGAGAACATTGATTTTGAAGGTGGACCTTTGCATTGAGAAGAAGCTCTGCACTCTTTCCCAAATGAAATGGTTAAAAATGTTATCTTCTGTTGTGTAACTTAAAACCCAGTGGTGGAGTTGGGGGATAGGGGAAATATGTGTGAGAGAACAAAAATAAGTAGGATGCAAGGTTCAGAGTAACTAGCACCCAATCAGTTAGTCAATACATACTTATTAAGCACCGATTATGTGCCATGTACCCTGCTAAACACTGGGGTACACATACAAAAAAAGACAGTCCCTGCTTTTGAGGAACTCACATTCTAATGGAGGGGATGACAAACAACCAAATATATACAAACTATGTAAGGATAAGTAATTAATTAATAGAGGGAAGGCACTAGAATTAAGAGGGATTGAGAAAGACTTCCTATAAAGGATGGGATTTGAGTTTGGACTTAAAGGAAGCCAGGGAAGCTAGTAGGTGGAAATGAGGGGCAGGAAGCCAATGTCACTGAATTGAGGAGTACATGTTGGAGAGTAAGGTGGAGGAAGACTGGAAAGGTAGAAGGGGGCTAAGTTGTGAAGGGCTTTGAATGCCAAACAGAAGATTTCATATTTTCTTCTGGAGGCAGTAGGGAGCCCCTGGAGTTTCTTGAGTGATATAGTCAGACCTGCCTCTTAGGAAGATCACTTTGATGGCTAAAGAGAAGATGGATTGGAGTTGGGAGAGATTTGAGGGTAGTAGATCCACCAGCAGGTTATTGAAGTAGTCTAGGTTGTGAGGTGATGAGGGCCTGCATCATATTGGTATCAGTGTCAGAGAAGAAAAGGGCATGTATTTGAGAGATGTTGCAAAGGTGAAATCAGCAGGTAACAGATTGGATTTGGTGGGGAGGAGGGATGAGAGATGGTGAGGAGTCAAGGGTGCCACCTAGGTTTCAAGCCTGAGTGATTGGGAGGATGGCATTGCCCTCTACAGTAATAGGGAAGGTAGAATGTGGGAAGGGTTCTGACAAGTTTTGTTTCCTCTTAAAAAACACTTGTTATGATTCTAAATTATATTTATATATGTATCTTTGTAGCAGCATTCAGCTGCATGTGTACAGTATTAGTTTATTATAAAAAATATGTTGGTCAGCAAATTAATTTTGTTCTGCTTCCACTTAACATAAAGCCTCATATTCAGCCACTACCTTCATAATTGCATTTTTGCTAATAGAGCTTGGAATAGTTGCTGTTGGGTCCTCATTTTCTTTTCTGTGGATTTAAGCGATTGACATGTGTGCTGCCTGCCTTCATCCTCTTATTTTGCTCATTAGTCAACCAACTCAATTAAGTTACCCACTACTTTCTGAAACTGGCCAATTTTATCCATGAGTCCTTGCTCTCCTTGGGCCCAGTGGTTTTCTGGGTTACTTCAGGCTCCAACTCCTGCAGCTTGTTCAGCTCATTAAAGTGAAGATCTGCTTGTATCCTTTGGGATGTCTTTAGTTATGGCTGATGCAAGGTCCCTTGCTTCCTTCCAGTGCTGTGTGGGAGTAGAGGATAGTGGGGGCTGTTCTGTTCTCTAGTTGGTGGCTCCTTGTTCTGAAGCTGCTTGGTTTATTAGATCATAGATTTTGGGCTGAATGGGATCATAGAGATCATATACCTCAAAGGCCTCATTTTATTTATGAGAAAGATGAGACTTGGGGATTTGGAGCAATTTGCCCAAGATCACATGGCAGCAAGTGGTAGGGCTAGGATTGAAACTCAGGACTTTTGAATCTAAATTGATTTTTCTTCTCATTGCACCCTGCTGCTCCTCCTGGTAGTTAGGAGCTTTATTGTGAAGGACTTTGTATACCAGACTAATATGGTTGCATGTTTGCACTTTATTTTGGCAATTGTAGGAGCAATAGATTACAGAAGGATAAAGAGAACATTTATGTAGGCAAGGTCAGTACTAATGGGAGCTTAGATTAGGGTACAAGCTATGAGAATGGAGGAGAAGGGGTCATTCTTGCCTCTCACTTTACTGCATATGGGTCATGGAGACTAGATTAGGTTGGGGTGTTAGAAGAGTTGCCTTTGATGTATTGGAGAATCTAAAAGATGTGAATAAAAGGATACTTTGGCAGCAACTAGGGTATAATCAGAACTGAGTGTTATGACTATCATGGATCGAGACTGCCTGATTCTTTCTCTTCCTGTAACCATACACTAGATCAAAGAATCCCATAGCTGGAAAGGATCACATAAGCTGTGTGTGTGTCTGTGTATACACACACACACATTTACATATACATATATACATGTGTGTATATGCACATATGTGGATATATGCTGTGTATGTATAATGTAATGTGTATATATACATACATGTATGTATGTATATATAGTGTTACCTGTATTTACATGAGTTATCATACACAAGAAACGATATTCCAAACAAATAATCATCAAGTTTCTGCTTGACATCTTCATGCCAAGGCAGCGCATTCAACAATAGGATGGCTGTAATTATTAGGAAAACTCTTTCCTTATTTTGAACCTATAATTTTACGTGTTAGAACAGGCCTACCTATCCTTTATCTGAATCACCTTATGTATGGTCTCTCTAAATTAACTAGTCTTTTCTCATTTTTTTATCTTAACTCTTATTAACATTGAGTCTTGATTTCTATGGATAGCTAAGTGGTACAGTGGATAGAGTGCTGAGCCTGGAGTCGGAAAGACTTCGTTTTCTTGAATTAAAATCTAGCCTCAGACACTTAGTAGTCTTGGGAATCTTACTTAACTCTGTTTGCCTGAGTTTTCTTATTTGTAAAATGAGCTAGAGAAGTAAATGGCAAACCACTCCAATATCTTTGCAAAGAAAACCAGGGTCCCAAAGCATCAGATATGATTGAAAACAATTGAACATAACAACTTCTGTCCTTGGTTTCCAACATTTCTAGTTTAGCAGCCAGTTTCTGCTTCTTGGCCTGAATCAAATCCAAAATAGCAATTTCCCTTGCTATTTTCTCTACTTTTTGAAAAATGAATTA